GGGGTTACCATTATATGGGTGCTCCCCGGAAACTTGGATCAATATTGATAATTCTTTGTAAGGAGATTTTGTACTCACAGATCATTTAAAATATAAAATTACAGCCAATTTGGTTGAAACACGTGACCAAACCCCCAAAATACAGAGGAGTGGACCAATATCGATAATTTTAAGTAGGATTCATGCTACCAAATAAAACAACCAATTGCAGCTGATTAGGTTGAAAAACGTTCCCAAATCCTCAAAAATGTGGAGTGCCATTATATGGAGGATTTTCCGAAGCTTGCACAATTTTTTAAGGAACATTTTCTACTCAATGATCATCCAATATATTAAATTACAGCCAAACACCGAAAATTACGGGATTACCTGGATACTTGCCAATATTGATAATTTTAAGTACAGATATTGTGTTGTAAATCGTGCCCAAGATCTTCAAAATATGGAATGTTTATTGCTATCGTTATATGGGCGGTACTCCAAAATATGTGCCAATATTGATAATATTTGGTACGGATATTTGCAATTATTTTGAAAATTTTGAAAAATCGTCAAAACTTCTGATATTGCGAGGTACGGTTATGATATTGTCAGGTACGGTAGTAGCAATGTATGTGCAAATTTCAGAGCACTATCTCAAATCGTGGAGGGTAGCAAAAGCTATCTTACTATTGGGCTATCGTTATGTGAATTATACATCAACAATATTGCAATGCAAGACAACGTTTGCCGGGCCCGCTAGTATTATTATAAAAATAATTACAAATATAATGTTTTTAGAAGACTGATAGATAAGCCGAAGCTAACCCGGTTAGGGACACATTGGCGAATTTGACTTTTTTTACAAAACTGTAAAAAGTTTTAAATAATACTAATTTATGCTTTTGGTAAGCATGGTATAATCATACAAGGTAGTCTCATGCAGTCATATGTTTCCAATTTTTTTTTCACAAATTTGCCTTTGAGGGTCGTACCTAAATGCATGCGTATGCGTACGATTTTATTCACCTCAAAAGTTAAATACATGTATTTCAATGAACGTTACCCAAATATGCATTGCGTATTAAAATATAAAGTTAAATTTTTCAACATTGACAATGCGTATTTTGAATTTTTGTTTTTTTTTTTTTTTTGAAAATAGAATTTCAGCCATTTTTCGATCAAATAAAAAAATATTTTCGTCCATTTTCGCCGTTTTTAATTGGCACAGATGCAAATAAAGTCTTTGCGTATTTGGGTAATACGGACGTCTAACAAACCCTATAAAGGTGAGAAGGTGAGTATTTTTGTACGGAGCGCAATAAATTAGGTACGACCCTGACAGTATTCAGCTTTCAAAATTCAAACGAAAATATCTTCCTTCGACAAGTACGCATATCATGTGTTCGGTGGCAAAAATTGTTAAATCTATATATATAAAAATGGTGCCAAAAAAAAATGTATACTTACTCGATTTGACTCTTTCAGTTGAGAAAAATCCGCGAAAATCTTGCAAAAATTATATTAACGAAACGGCTGCACCGATTTGACTTAAAATTTCTGTTAGTAGTCTATAATTAAAGTGGAAAGGTTTTAATGAAAGAACATTTTGAGAAAAATCCGCGAAAATTTTGCAACATATATTTTGAAAGATATTAGCATTTCCACACGTTTCATATCGATTTCATCTCATCGTAGTTCTTTTTGGGCATATTTTGTTCGAAAATGGCAGCGTATAACATCTTTAAGTAATTGTCAATTATGGAAAATGCTCAAAATACATATGTTAATTTTCTACAATCAATTGCATTGTCATTGCCTTGAAAAAACTATTGTATGTGAAAATAAATGTATATATATTTTCATTAGAGTTAAAATTATTAATAAGAAACCGAAAAGAGAGAGAGTAAGATTAATCGCTATCATTATTTGATCACGTTTTCCATAAATCATATTTAGTTTGAAAATCTATAGTAACGCATCAACTGAGAACGGCTGGGAGTATTTGACTCAAACTTTCTTTACGTTATCAGTAATTGAAATGGGAAGGTTTTTATGATAGAAAATTTTGAGAAAAAATCCGCGGAAAAGTCGCAAAACTGGAAAAATCTAATGTTGTTATTTTATATGTAAGTTTGAGTAAAGTTGAAAATCGCGGAATATGTAGAAAAAAACTTCATGTTGTTCTGTCTATAATGGCTTTCCGAATGGATAAATTTAAATTCTAACTGAAAATAGCGGAATATTCCGAAGAATTGAATTTTACGCATGATTTGATTTTGGTTTGTGGGAAAATTTTGAGGTCCTTGCAAATTTCGCATAATTATGAAAATCATGATAATAGAAGTTAGCTGATGGTTTTATGCCACAACTTAATATATTGCTTTAAGTTGTACGTTGTCGTTGGCTGTGATAAATTTGTCATGTTCCTTCTTTATTGTCATTTTATATTGAGTAAGAAATTAAATTATAAATATAAATTACTAGCCGGGTCCGCTAGTAATTTATATTTATAAATATTTTGATGTTCCTTGCCTCTAAAACGTATAAATATAAGTTGTACCAACCATGGTTAAATCTTGAGAGCAATGTTTAGCTGAACACATGATATGCGTACATTTCGAAAGAAGATATGTTCATTTACATTTTGAAAGCTGAATACTGTCAAAGGCAAATTTATGAAAAAATTGGTAACATATGACTGCATGAGACTACCTTGTATAATTTTGCCATGGTATCAGAGGACAATAATCAGTTCTTATATCTGGTGAATAAGTACTGAGATATAGAGCGCTAAAAAAGTGCCGAATGGTGCCCAGTCTTCCCCATACTGTACTATTCCAAAACCGTAACCTATAAAAACAGTAGTTTACTATTCGATATCCTAAAATTAATATAACAGGAATTTCGATTGCAAACGTGAAAGTCTTCTACACTGTCAATCTTACTTTCACATGTCGTTCAACTATTTTATACGGGTCGTTGTAGAAGGTAATATGAATATAATACTTATAATATTAAATATTCAACATCATACTTTCGATGTGATATTTTTGCCGAATTTTACTGATGTTTTTATCCTGATTTGAACAGAAGAAAATGCATACGAGCTTTAGAAAATCAAATGATATAGTTTAAGAATTTTTGAATTAACATTTTGTGGGCCTAATTCGGAACCTTTTTCTTTCTATATCGTAATTTCAATATACAGACGGATATGACTAAATCGACATATAATTTTATTCTGATCAAGAATTTGTATACTTTATACCCCGTCTGCGACGAGTCTTCGAGATGTCGCAAACGGAATGAAAAATTTAACACGTTCGGACGTGAATGCTGAATCGTTTATTTTAAGATGAAGCCTAATGATGTGAATGCCTTTGCGTCCACGAATGTGCTAATCCAAATAATCCAACTTATTTCTTTACAAATTGAATGCAAATAGCCCTTACTGTGCTTCGACTCTCCATTTATTTTACTATTGTTCGAAATATATTACCTATCGATGGAACTCCGGGGAGCTTTAGTCCCATCCCGTTTGTCACATAAGAACTAGTTTAAGGATAGTGGAGTGGAGAGGGACGAACGTAAATGAGAAAAACTGTTTGTTTGCATCTCTAATGAAAATGTACCCTTTAGATATGTATATATATATATATATATATGAAATGTTTGCAAAGATAGAATATACATACGTATACTTTAGTCATATGTACTCACAAATGTACTATCCAATTTGTGGATGTGTGTGTGTGTCGTCCGGGAATGAGAACGGGAGTAAAAATCAAACCAAATGTTGGGCAACAAAAACTATTGTTCAAGTATGGGAGTTTATGACCCGACACACGCAATCACACACATCATGACCATATATGCGTAGTATATATTACTATTTAAATGGATACCCTCCATTCGAATTCGTACACATACATGAAATCGGGAACACATACTAAATACATGTGGGCACAGTCATCTGAGCATCGTGAGATGTTGTCTAGGGAGTATGTTCTGTGCCCATATGAAGATGGATTGCCTATCGATATACATACATATGAATATATGTACTTGTCTTCTGTCATATACATACGTATGTCTTGCTTGCGTATGTGTGATTAAAACACTAGTAGCCCACAACTCTTCCCAATCTGTCGTCCAAAATCTGTCAAATACTCTTTTGCATACATAAATCTAAGAAGGTTCTATATAGCATATCCTTTTGTAGCTTTTGTCTATCATACGTTGGGACGAAGGTCTTGATTTGACCAGTAAAGAGAAGACGCCACATATGATATCTGTGGGAACACAAAAAACGGGCGTGTTTGACAGGTTTGGTATCGCAGTCCATACAGGACACGTACCATGTATGTACACTGTATGGCGACAGCAGCAATTGCCAGTTAAACTCTCATCCTTTACATGCATTCGATTTCAATTACATGTCCGTGGCTCTGCCGCTGTTGCTTTAGTTGCCTGTTTGACAATAAAATGGTATGTTTTTTACATATACTCCGCCACCACCTTTCGTATGTGAATACGACACACACACTGTAACCGAACAAAAAGTAGAGACACATACGATATACGAAATACTTTCCACATTCTGTGCCAGGGATGGCGTACAACCAGTACTTTCTTTTCAAAAAGTACCATTTCATTCGCAATGGTTAAACACGTAGACTTTACTAATCCAATTCGATTAAGATATTGCGATACGATTGTTACTAACTGCAAACTTTGTTATTCCTGGTAAAATTATCGGTCGTTATCGATTGCTGATAATTTTATATCAACAATTTACCACCTTTAACAAAAAACGCGGCAATTAGAAAAAGTGAAAGAATAAAAGCAATAAAAGTGATTTGAGAACGGCGAAAAACCATAAGACGCCACATAATGTGTATGAAAAATTTGCCACCTTAAACTAAAAACGCGGGCAATTAAGAACATTAAAAGAATAAAAGCTAAAACCAGAAGACGCTACTTAAATTGGATATACCAAACTACAGATAACCCGTTCAATGGATTCAGCTAAGGAAGGGTAATATTTGCTACGATGCTTCGTGTATTTGTGTATAATTCTAAATAATGTGTTTTAGGACAAAAAAGAAATATGCTGCAGGGTTTCGTGAGGAATGGAAGGAAAAATTTCCTTGGCTTAATCAGGTAAAAGGGGGCAAAAAGTGTGTAGTTTGTGACATACAAATTGCCGGTGGTCTCAGTCATATAGAGCGTCATGCGTCCCGTGAATGTCACAAGAAAATTTTTAATATTGCCAAAAATACTCCGAAAATCGACGCCTATATGGAAAATGCAACCAAAAATTGCCCTACAACAGAATCCGCAAAAAAATTGGAGATAATGCTGTGTTTGTTTATCGCAGAGTATAATATGCCATTTACGATTTTAGATCATTTAAATCAAATTATAAAGAGTGGCATTCCAGATTCTCAAATAACAAAAAAATTTCTTATAAATCGGCACAAAGCTCAACAAATAATTAACAATACAACAGGGCCAGAAAATACGAAATTCATTAGCAAGTTTTGTAACGAAAATTACTACTCAATTGTAATTGACGAAAGCACTGACTGCACTGTGTCCAAACATTTGGCAATTATTATAAGGACTTTTAATGGAAAGTGCCAAGATAGATTTCTTTCATTAGAATATATTGTGGAGTCGACCGGCAAAGGCATTGCAGACACAATTATTGATGTTTTACGTAACTGCAATATTCCTCTTGACAAAATGATCGGATTTACAGCTGATAATTGTTCGGTTATGATGGGAAAAAACAACGGTGTGCAGGCAATATTAAAATTATCTGTTCCAAACCTATTTGTAACCGGATGTGTTTGTCATATACTGAATTTGGCCTCCTGTGCTGCGTTTTCGGTGCTACCACCTGAGGTAGACAGATTGATGAAAGAAATAAATTTTTATTTCTGTAATAGTCCAAGTCTGCGTCCAAGTCGGCAAAGTTTCAAGAGCACTTTGGAACATATTATTTTAACCTCAAAAATTTTGAAAACGAATATCGAGCCGAAAAGGTGGAATTTATCAGCGACGAACTTACTAATCCTATAATGAAAATGTACTATTTGTTTATGTCATATATTTTAAAATTAGTCAATGGCATAAATATTGAAATGCAATCGGAAGAAGCAAGAATTCACATATTACTACCAAGAATGATATTTTTATATATGCAAGTTGCAAGAAATTTTATTCAGAAAGGTGGATTAGATGATGATATCTTAAAAATCGACCTTAATAAAAATCATATCTCTGTGAATAATATTTTTTGTGGAACGGATGTGGAAATATTCATAGAAAATAAACATATCGACAACTCAGTTGTTTTAGAATTCAAAGAATATGTAAAACAATTTTACATAAAATTTTGCCAAACATTAAAAAAGAACTTAGATTTCAGAGGCGACAGTTTGTATATGATGTTTAATAGCTTCGCACCTGAGAATATTTTGGACGGAAAAACAGGTAGTTTAATTCCTCTTTTAATGAAATTATTTCCAAAAGAAGAAAAAAATTATGATAATATTTACTCTCAATATCGAGCTTTGTCCGATTATCCGGAACTTAAAAGATTTAAAGATGAAAGTATTAGTGATTTTTGGCATAAAGTTAGTAATATTAAAAATGAATTAGGAGAATTAATGTTTGCAGATATATCTAGAATTGCCTTTGGAATTTTATCAATTCCACATTCATCAGCAAATGTTGAACGAATATTTTCCATACAAAATGCCACTAAGACAAAAGAACGAAACCGTCTACAATTAGAAAGTGTATCAAATCTTATAAGGATAAAGGATATTCTCAAATCACAAAATGCTTGCTGTTATGACTATAAAATTCCACAACATTTTATTAAGAAATAATAACTATATTTTTTTTACACAGAACGTTTGTAAAAGATAAACATGATCTCTTTTTTAAGTTCCTTCATCTACATATGAAATTTTAACTATATATTTTTAAAGCAAAAGTTATGTAAAATATACACATGATCTCGTATTTTATGTTCCTTAAATCTATATATGTATGTATATATATATACATCTAAATATATAAATGAATTTGTTATGTTTGTATTTTAAATGAATAAAATTTTTTGTTTCGTTTTTCTTAAAAAAGTACCATTTTATTAAAAAAGTACCCTTTTAGTACTTTTTAAAAATTTTGATTTTCCATCCCTGATAAATACTCTATTCTTTATCTGAAGAATATTTCGAAATCGAAAGAATATTTCGAAAATGTTGAGCATTTTTATTGACATGAAATATCTCGTATACATACTATTTCCATTATAGTTCAAAAGGCATGAGAGCGTATACGTTACGTGCTCTCACATTTATACTGAACTTGGCTGACTTCATATAACACAACTCACCAATACTGCCACTACCAACATGTTGTTATGGCTTACATTCAAACTTCGTTTCATAGCACAAAACAGAACAAAAAAACTGGCGTGAGATTGTCTGCGGCTATGTCTGTCGTCACAAATATTTATGGTGTGGTAATATAACCAAACGAGAAGCCAGCCAGCAATCCAGCCAAACGATAGACATAGTGGATTGAGGGCATATCAGACATGGGGAGACTAACCCCCAGACATTGGAATTGAACTATTTCAACCCCATCTACCAAATTGATGTGTTGGAGTTTAGCTTTCACGCAGTCATTATAGCTTACAACTAGCCGACTGGCAGTCTGCAAATATGTCCTGTCCGTTTTTGTGCCATTCACCCCTCTTTTTATTGTGGTGCCTGGTGGTATTAATTTTAACTTATGTAAGTAAATCTTTTTGTTTCTCTTCTTCTTCAAAGTTGACCCATGTCTGGTGTATTTTTTTAATATATATTTGAGTTCACACTACAACAACAACTGATGTAGGACCATATCACCCTGTGTAACTGGAGTAGTTACAGCAACATGCCAATGGATATGAACTTGTTTGGAAGTCAGTGTGTGAGTTCGAAGACATATGGCTTGGCATGTCTAATTTCAAATCGCCTTTTCCTAAGTACTCACTGTCCGCTTTATTGAAATATGAGTTTGCATTTTGTAGTTTCTGTTTTCTTTTTTTGTTCACCTTTATTTCAAATAAACAATCAACTTTTATAAGAGTTCGGAGGTCTTATTTTTATGTGAGAATAACATGGACTTTATTTATTTTAGGGCAACAACATGTAAATCGTTCGGCTTTTTTCATTCGCTCACTATTCTGGGTGGTATGTCACCCCTAAATAAAATGGGTTGTCAATGGTGACAAATGTCCAGTCCTGTGTATGGTAGCCAAAATATTTTTGGTTTTATGAAAGAAAAAGCAAACTTTGGAAATTTTGTGTCTACACAATTCTATGTATTTCGAAAAATTAAATGCCTCGTATTTGTGCCTTATGCATGTTTTTATGTGTTGGTCATTATGTTAACAATCAGCTTTTAGTTCGTGGTACAGGAAATATATATGAGAAGAATGTCTCCCCCAATTGCGCAAATTGTCAAAATTAGACTAACTATATTTAGACTGAAACATCGCACCGAATCTATACAATCTGACTACTAACAAACCGATATCGATTTGGCATTCGGAATTAGACGACATGCTCTCAGAAAATGTTCAATGCAAATCCATGCCTTAACAATTCTCCGGATTAAAGATATTCTTAAGGTTCAATCTACACTTTAAAATTAAAGTGGCGAATAACACTGTGCACAAAGATTTTTAGGGTGGGAAATTCGTGTTGGGGACTAGGTTACAATCCAATCTTTCTATTTTTTTATATCCTTCACCACACTGTGGTACAGGGTATTATGTCTTTGTGCATATATTTGTAACAGGCAAAAGGAAACGAGATAGACACATGGTTCCTTTTGAGAATATGCATAGAATCACTTTTTAAGTCGATTTATGCATGTCCGTCCGTCCGTCTGTCCGTCCGTCTGTCCGTCCGTCTGTCCATGTTAAATTGTAAACAAAGTACAGGTCGCATTTATGATCGGAATTGCATGAAATTTGGCGTAGGCCACTTATTTGGCCCAAGGACGAACCCTATTGAAATCGGTCCAGATTTAGGTATAGCTCCCATATATATTTTCCTCCGATTTAAAGTAAATGGTGTACCAAAGTCGCTCTATATCTTTCGATTTGCACAAAATTTGGCACAGCATACTGAATTAAGCCTAGAATGATGTGTGTTAAGTTTCATGAAAATCGGTCCAGATTTAGATATATATATATATATATATTTTCGTCCGATTTAATATAAATGGTGTACCAAAGTCCCTATATAACTTAAGATATATAGGGACTTTGGCACAGCGTACTGAATTAGGTCTAGAACGATGTGTGTCAAGTTTCCTGAAAATCGGTTCAAATTTAGATATAGCTCCCATATATATTTTCGTCCGATTTTAGATAAATGGTGCACCCAAGTCCCTATATATCATTCGATTCCCACAAAATTTGGCATAGCGTACTGAATTTAGTCTAGAAGGATGTGTGTTAAGTTTCGTGAAAATCGGTTCAGATTTAGATATAGCTCCCATATAAATTTTTCGTCCGATTTTATATAAATGATGCACCAAAGTCCTTATATAACTTTCGACTTCCACGAAATTTTGCATAGCGTACAGATTTAATTCTGTAATGATGAGTGTTGAGATTCGTGAAAATCGGTTCAGATTTAGATTTAGCTCCCCATATATATTTTTGTCCGATTTTACATAAATGGTACACCAAAGTCTTTATATAACTTTCGATTTACACGAAATTTTGTATAGCGTCCTGAATTAATTCTAGAACGATTAGTGTTAAGATACGTGAGATCGATTCAGATTTAGATATATCTCTCATATATATTTTCGTCCGATTTTACATAAGTGGTACACCAAACTCCTAATGTTTGTCCGATTAAACACGAGATGTGCACAAAGTATCAAGATGAGACTTGAATTACGTTATTGCGTTTTATTGAAATTGGTGCAGATGCAGCCATAGCTTCCATATGTATTTTGAACGGTTGTCTGATTGGGATTACATTTTTAACAGTGCGACGTACCGAATATGGTGTGTCAATTTTGCTATACATCGTTTTCCATAAATGTGTCCCATAATAAGCAGACAACTCTAAATCTGACCGAATGAAATTAAATTTAGCATAGATTGCAGAAAGGCATGATTATGTTCCTTCGAGTGAACATTGACATGAAATTGTAAGGGTACATATGTACAATATACTCAAAATGGTGAAGGGTATCATATAGTCGGCCCAGTCCGACTTTACTACTTTCTTCACTGGTTTTTTTTTTATATAGAAAATGAAATCCTTTGTACCTGCC